GCCCCCCCCCCCCCCCCCATCAAAAACTGCTGTACCTAATATAGCGCTAAGCTAGCGGCGCACAATACAGATGCAATAACAATGATACAAACGTAGCGCGCCGCTTCTCTCACACATTCTAATCCTTCACCCATGTCAACAACTGCCAGCACTAACGTGGCACTAAGCTAGCAAGCAAAACAGAGGTGTCTTCCCCTCCTCCCCCCTTGAGCGTCCTGCCAAGGCAGATGACTGAGGGGCAACATTGCATGCGATGTGGAGTTGTAGGTAACCAGGAAAACCCGGAGTGGATTTTTAGTGGTTTGAGTGTTCTCCTATTAATCAAGTGAAATGGATTTGTTTACAAATAAATAGAAACGGTGCTGGGTGAACTATTTCATGGTAAATGTGTGTGGGGGAGGGGTTCAAAATGAATATTGTTTTAAATGTGGGGGGGAGACGTCCTCTTCAACTATAATTGTTGTGAAGCCTATGTGTGTATATATATTTTTCTTTTTACTGGTGCACATTTACTTGTATATATAGTAACTCATAAAGTAACTCATGTGGCGTGGCTTTTCCATAGTTTACAGGAATTATTTATAAGCAGCACAATTTTTTTTTCTTTCTGAATTTTCCATTTAGTTCAGTTTCAGGTCGCTCTTGTAAATGAGTCCCCAAGGCTCAGTGGGATTAACCTGTATAAATAAAAGTTGAATGAATGTTGGTGCAGCTTTTCTAGCATTTACGGTAATTCTCAAGGTTTCGCTGTGCTTCTCTCTGCAGAGAGAAGCTGCCAGCCCAAAGAGAGGTGCAGGCCTGAAAAGACAATAAGGTCAGAGAAGAAAACTAGCATGGCTGTCACTAAAAGTTAATTTAAATATTTATACATTCTGGACTTTTGCTAGAAATCAAATTTCTTTAGGCAGACCTTGTTGAATTTTAATTGAAGACCACTGCATACGACTGTTTGTACTTTCTTGCTTTAAGCCAAAATGCATAAAGATGGCCACTTCACAATACACACTGTGCCGCTTCCAAGAAATACAAATTTATATGAAGCAGAAAATGAAGTCATTGCTCCCATGGTTTTGGTTTGATTCAACCTCAACACCTCTGAGCCCAATTCTTCGTGCTGAAAATTAATGAACCTCTAAACCCGCAATGGCAACCAGCGTACCGCTGCCACCCCGGTACCTCGCACCGAAACTCCAAAGATTTTTCTTGCTTACATTAAAGCGCTTCCTGTTGCAGCTTTGAATGCATTCCTTTGAAAATCAATGACCTCCTTCATGGAAATAAATACATATCTTAAGAAAATGTCCAGACAGCTGGTGGTTTGGAGATACATCCAAGATTTATTCATGTGCACACAGAAGAGGTGAGAAACGGCTTTCTGACAAAAAGCCTTTGAGGGCACATAACCAAAAGGAAAAACAGCTTCACAACAGGTACCGACCAGTTAGTCCCTTGAGCTTCCACTGGCACGTTCATGGTGTTTAGTCTGCAGCCAGGCAGGTAGGAGGGGTGATGCATGCGGCAGCAGCTCCCTGGGTCAGGAAGTGGGCTGTAACTGCAGGGTTTTTCTTTGTCTCATGGCTGCTAAGCACCTTTTAAATAATAGTGCTGCAGCTAAAGCTGCATGATCAAAATTAATGTTTGTTAAATCTTACACAGTGCTTATGAATGTGGTTAATTACCTGCAATAACTGTGAAAAAATGACTTGTTTTTATTCTTTTTTTTCCCTCCACAAAAACAAAAGGTGGTGATTTACTATAGTTTTTCATAAAGAGCGCGTGGGGCAGCAACAAACGTACTTTAATTTCTGATTAGTCCGGACAGATATGGAAGTGAGGTACATGTTCCTTGATAGAGGACTCAATTAATCAGTTATAAGTATCCAAATCAGTTTTCTAGATGAATAATCAACACAAATTTTCAGCTTTAATAATGGCCTTATGTTAAATTTTATTTTTAGATTAAACAGCGTGCCTGCTGTTAAAAAGGATGACAAATGAAAACGAGAGTGATTCACTTAAACTCCTCTGAGGGTACGAACGAGTGAACTTACCATAGTTGTTGTAGGATTCATCACTTGTTCCGTGTCCATATTCATAATACTCTGAAAGGCTGAAAAAACAGAACAAAAGCATCACTCAAAAGTATTGAGCAAAAATGGATAAAAGTACACAAGGTTTGCATAAATCTGCATTTCAGCTGTCAATAAACAACAAAACCAAACTCATTGTTATCTACAGTGTCAATAACCGTTAGTTCCAAACCAAATGGTTCCTCCTAAGGAGGAAAGTCTAAAGAATCAGGTCCTAAGTGTGTGGTTTTGCTCTGTAGAACGACTCCATAATCCTACAGCAGATGGGCTCTGTAAGGTTTAGAAAGTTTAGCTCAGGGATGTGCAAATAAAACATTTGTTTAAGACCATTTTCAGCTGTGGATTAATTAAACATTTGGCGCTCCGTTGAGGATTTTCAGCAGCAAGATGGTGAATGTGGGATTTACTGCTGCGTTTGTGTTGCTCGTGTTGCTCACTGATGTGCTTTTAATAAACAGGAGAGCTATCTGGCACGACGACTGAATATTAAGATTTCTCCACGTGGCATTTCTTCTGAAATGGATCTACACCAACGATGAACCATAAAGCATTAATCTTCCGCACCCTCGTATTTGTGTCTGTTTGAACATTACCTCTTCGACTGACTGCTGTAGTCGTCTTCATAGGCTTCGTAATTCTCGTCATCGTATTCCCCGCCGTATCCATCATCATAACCCTGCAAACAAATTCAGTAAATATTAAATTGACCTGACATCTTCTCTCTGCCCTCTATAACTTCTTTGACAGAATGCATGTTGCTTTTCATGCCCGTGTTTTAAACAAAGATTTAGTGTCATCTGTTTGCATTTGCAGTGTGTTTGGAGATTACCCTCAGCTTCAAATATCAGCTTAAAAACAGAAATGACCTGGCAATGTTTTAGGTTTTCTAATGTGAATAATCATTTTTAAATCGAACTGATTCCAAAAGTTAATCTATTATGAATAAAATGTCCAATGGGTTCTTGAAATATTTTGCTAACAGACAGTAAAGGTTGAATTTAACATTCATTGCCAAAGTTTTAAATAGACTTCACGATCTGAAGTGCTCAGTGTGTGTTTGGGATGAAGCTCAGCTATTATCACACCAAATACAAGCTTCAATACTCCGAGTTACCATTTTGCTACTTTTAGGTCTAGCTACCATTTTGGTGCCTTTAGCAAAAAACAAAAAAAACAAAAACAAAACTAATCTTAGCTTCAGATAAGCCTTTTGCTCCTAGCTACCTGCTTGCTAGTTTTAACTATATTTTTTGCTACATTAGCTAGTATTTAGCTACTTTTAGCATTCAGCTATACTTTTGCTACTTTAGCTTCTATCAAGCATTCTGATACATTTACCTTTTAGCTAGCATTTTGCTACATTGAATTTAGCTAGCCTTTTGCTATTTTAGCTGGCATTTAGCTACTTTTAGATTTTATCCAGTGTTTTGGTCCTTTTAGCGTTTAGCTAGTCTTTTGCTATTTTTAGATTTTAGCTATTTTTTGGTGATACTTTTAGCTTTTATTTAGTGAGTTCCTGTTTTTAATTTTTTTTTTTTGCTAACGTTGCATTTTATTTTTTGCATTGGTTTTTAGTGTTTTGTTGCTTTTAACTTTAACAACTCATGTTCAGCACATTTCAGCAGTCCTTCAGCTCTAAGGATTCAAACTGTATTCCTACAGAAAATCTAATTTCTCTACTAAACATTACTTAAACATTGTTCTTCAGGTCCACAGTTATATAAAGGCTGGATTAAAAAAATAATGTGACATAAAAAAAACAAAACAATTATTGTTGTTGGTAAATCGTTGCAAGTGAAATTCATTCTTTCAATGTATGCAAGGCCTTTAATTACTGCTTGTGCTGAATCCAGAGTAAAATTACATTTAGACCTTCAGTACAGGATTGACATAAATCTTCACAGTCCTATTTTTGGACATATTTCTTTTATGTTTTCTATTGATTGACTCGTAAAATCCACTTCATCAGAAGACTTTTCTTTTCCTGTCCGTCAGCTGAGTGTTAATACACTCTGCACAGCTGCTTTCAGTTATGACACTGCACTCGGAGTAATTAAGTTTTATGAGGTGAGGTGAGTGCCTAGTTGAATTTTCCCCCTCTGGATTGGGTGAAAAGAAGATGACACCATTAAAACTAAAATTTAACACTTTTTATTGTTCTTTTGTTTTCTTCCCACCTTGTATTATTTGTTTGAACAGCAATCACAAATTAGACATTTTTATTTAATTTTTTTTAAATAAAATCATAAATTTGTATTTTTTTAAATGTATCAGATTGAACAATGGCAACATGGCATTTGCTTGTTAAGTCAGAAAATCTTGAAATCATAAAAAATGTATTTACTTTTTAGGTATTAGCATATAAAGACCATCAAACATTTATTTTTCTCTTTCGCCTTTGACGAAGCCGATCGCTCGTACCCTCCATCCCTCCCGCTCTCTTGTCCTGTCAACCTCAGAGCATCTCTTTACACATCTTCTGAATTGAAAATTATGATGGATTTGGTCAGCTGGTCCCTCAACGCAGTTGATACATTTTTTTTCCACCAGCCGACAGGGTGCTGGAGAGCCCTCATGCCCTGAACGGACCCACACAGCTGGGTGTCATTGATTCCTGGGGTGAGTGGAAGAAGGTGTGCCTATCTGTTCTGTCCAGCATGGAGGAGAGGACGTAGAAGATGTGTACGTTACAGGGTTTCTGCTTTTTGGAATCGGCAGATACTTTGGATATCGACAAATTAGGAAGACGCTGGCAGCAGTTTCGGCCACGGTAAAGCTGCCAGCCTTATGTGAAGGATTAATTTGCGCTTCTAGCGCTCAGACTCGTATGCTTATCGAACTCAACCGCAAGCTGGACACGATTTCTGAGAATCGTAGGCCACTTGCGGCTCCTGGAATTCACCAGCATAAAGGATTCAATCTTGGAGAAAGTTAATCGAGCACGGACCGGGCGGATTGCCCACTAATTCTGGCTGTTCGGATTTGCCATTGAGTTTACCAACAGAACTTGAAGTCAGACAGAAAATAGAGTCTGGTGGCCCAAACAATTGTTGTTTATCTGAATTTGGCCTCCCCGCTAGCCTTGGACAGGCCAACTTATCTCAAATTGCTCCTGGAGGATACGTAAACTAGAAGCTCTGCCTTCTTTGCCCCTCCCGAAGACATCTGTGGCCTTATCAGAGCCATGATGCTAAAAGACACTGTACCATCTTATCAGAACTTTGGAACATTCCGGAGTGTTTATGGATAACTCAACGGCCTTGCCGACTTCTATGCATATATGTATTATGATGTCATTGTATGTTGCAGCTTTATGTTGCGAGGTCTTTTTTTTTTCATCTTTTACACTGTTTCCCAGCCAGGAAATGATGTGAGACTTGCTTTTTTTTTGGCATTCTCCATCCTCGTGTTCTCTTTTTCTCATCTGCCTGTATGTTGTATGTAACAGATCTCTCTTGTAAATGAGTCTTCAAGGCTCAGTGGGAACTAACCTGTATAAATAAAGGTCTAATAATAATAAAAAAAATAATCCTTATATTGTGTTTGGGTCAAATTTGACCCATTTTCAAGTATAAGTATGTAAAAAGGACAATTTTTTAAATTGGAATATGGTTTCATGGTATCCCCAGAGGCAGCACGATGGTGCAACTGGTAGAGCTGCTGCCTCTCAGCGAGCAGGTCCCCGGCTCAAATCCCAGTCCGGAGGCCTTTCTAGGTGGAGTTTGCATGTTCTCTCCGTGCATGCGTGGGTTTTCTCCGGGTACTCCAGTTTCCTCCCACAGACCAAAAACATGCATGTTAGGCTGATTGGTAACTCTAAATTGTCCCTAGGTGTGAGTGAGAGAGTGAATGGTTGTTTGTCTCGTTTGTCTCTATGTGGCCCTGTGATGGACTGGAGACCTGTCCAGGGTGTACCCCGCCCCTCGCACAGTGATTGCTGGACATGGGCACCGGCGACCCTCGTGACCCAAAATGGAAGAAGCAGGTAAAAAGACAATGGATGGATGGATGAATGGATGGTATGCCCAGACACATTTTAGACCAGTTTAGTGTTTTATGAAGGTCTGTAAATAAAAAAAGTGACATGTGTAGTATTATGAGTCAAATATGACTCGGCAGATAATACAGTTTTCTCCATGTATCACTTTAAAGCTGTGGTTTATCTTGGGAATCTAATATCAGGCTCAGTTTTCCCCAGATCTCTCCTTTTCATTACACCTCTCAGAAAAACGCAAACTTTCAAGGATAATAGTGATCAGTATTAACAACAAAAAATAAAAATAAAACTATATATATAATTTTTAAATAGTCTGGGTGAGGTGTTTTCAGTTTATTTCTGTAGTAGCATCAATCAGCATTAGCAAGAGATTCCCTGCCTATGGGGGCATTGATCCCAGCTTTGATCACAAGATTGATATTGAGGTCAGAGACTTTAGTGAAGTTGTGTCTGAGGTAGAGGATGATTTCAACATTGAACAAGAAAACAGACCAGAAGGGGACACTTCATGGTCGTAAAGCTCAGTGCAGATCATCAACAGAGTATATCATCAAAATGGCTCTGGGGACTACAAGATGAGCTGTGTCGCACGCTCAGGACAACAAAACTACATCGGAGCATACCACTCTCTATTGAGAAGATCCTGCTTGCGATAAGCAACATGGAAATAAGAAGGATGTTTGGTAACAGTTGGACGAAATCAACAAAACACAAGTGAATGCTTGAACCAGACAGGAGATGCCAGGAGGGAGCAGGAGTAGGAGGTGCCAGTTTCGTTCCTCAACCAGGACAGGAATCAGAACCACCTGCCAAACGTCTGCAAGGAGGACTTTAAAACAACCACATGCAGTGATTCATGCATGTATTGAACACACAACACCATATTGTTTTTCAGTGTTCAATTAATAATTTATTCTTGCTAACATGAGTAAAATTAAGTGGCTCTTATGAATAAAAATAACTTGGTTTTGGCATTCTTATTAACAGATTAACTTATCACAACACTGATATTAAATATTGCTGCAGTTCCACAGAAACGCAGCAATATTTATTTTATGTTAAATAAGAAAACTAGTATTTTTTCTATTTTCTAATATTAGACCATTGGACTCGGATTATAAGCTTAATCATTGTTTTCATTTAGGAAATTGAATGAGTAATTTTTTATGTTTTTATATTTGAAAACAAATGGCACACTAGAGTACATAGGGCCAAAAAAAAAAAAAAAATCTAAAACAGTGTTTACAAAGGTATCAGTACAAACTGGGTTAGCTATGCAGTAAAAAACCAACAACCTTGGATGATGATTATTGTTTTATGAGTATTTTGGGTTGAGTTAAATCGCGGGTTAATTTTGACCCTTACAGGTGTATCAAACTCAATTACAAAAGGGGGCTAACATTAAAACCTGTTTCAAATTAATGGCCAGTTTCAGAAACTCCACTCAAATCAGATACCCAACATCTTTTCTTGGTTGCAGGTTCCTCAAAAGAGTTTTATTGGTCTCATTTGACGTTCTCTGTTGCCCTTTTGACATCATAATCAAAGATTACTGAAAAAATACAAGTGAAAAAAGTATTTTACGTTTAACATATCATCTTGGGGGCCAGATAAGATGTCATCGAGCGCCACATTTGGCCCCTGGGCCTTGAGTTTGACAT